CTGTGTGTGTGTGTGTGTGTGTGTGTGTGTGTGTGTGTGTGTGTGTGTGTGTGTGTGTGTGTGTGTGTGTGTGTGTGTGTGTGATTGTGTGTGAAAATAAAAAAAATATTTTCATTACAATCATTACAATTCTTTCTTTTGCTCTAGGGACTGCACGGTATCTGTCTGTTTTTCCTGCGCACCACGCCGAAAGCCATTACCCCTCAGAACATCGCCCAGGAGGTCAACTTCGGCACCATGGACTGCACCGGGGGGAAAGTGCTCTCTGGATTCGAAAAGCATTTGTCCAAGATCATTCTGCCTGCTCTTAAGTCTTTGGAGGTGAAGAGGGAAAGGGTGAAGCATATCAGTTTAGCATTTAAGTAAGACAGTACCATAATTATACTGCAGAAAAGAACAGATAACGAAGACCTCCACCTTTTAGTTTACAGGGCATTGTGCTGAAGGGCGTTCGCTCAAGGGCTAATAGTTTAACAACAATAAAACAACAACAACAAAAAAGACACACCACCACCACCACCACCACCACCAACAACAACAACAACAACAATAGCATCAGCACTTTATCCTTTTCATTCACAAAAAAAAACCTCAGCCATTTTCCAGTTCTTTCCTGCTCTCTTCTTACTTAGCAGTCAGGTTGGGGACTGGCGTCTGAGGTGCAACATCTAGATACTTTACCGTCGCACGCAAACAACCTGAGTTCGATTCCTGTGTGGGGAGAATTTTTATTGAATGTCTCTGGGTCTCTGCTGGGATGTTGTACTCCTTTCAGTCCAGGTAGTTCATGACAGGGAGGGTCGAAGCCCGCCTCCTAAGTTATCCAAATTATGTCTTTTGGACAATAAAACGCCAACTGTTATGCCGATGGCTGCACTACTAGATGATTATGCTGTGTTGGTGTTGTAGGCTTCTCTTTTGTTTACTGACCAGCTGTTTTGTCGTAATGGAACACGAGACTCATGGTTATGCTTTTAGCCGTTACAAACCAAAACACGGGTTCTATTCCCGCATGGGAAAGTTCAATATATCGAGTATCCTCGTCCTTTTTACTGGGACACGGTATCCCCCCTCTCCCAGACTGTGTTGCACCGTTTCCCTAAAATTATACCGATAGTATAAAAACAACAACAACAACATCAACAAAAGACACAAATCATGTTGATTGGGATTCAAAAAATTGAAAAACACAATCACCTTTCTTCTTTACCGAAAGTAACACTTCCAATATGACAAGTAAAGATCACACCTAATGTTGTTGTTGTTGTTGTTAAACCAATAATAATGTCCTAAAAATCGTTCAACGTCTGAATAATTCTGATTGTTTTTTTCTCTCTCTCCAGCAATGGGGAACCCTGTCTAGGGAGAACGGGAACGGGGCTCAAGTGGAGGACTTTCTGGAACACCTGGAGAAGTTCATCAACAGCTTGATGTCAGCCCTCAAGAACATGGAGGGTCAGGTGCACCTAGAGGAGAACGGGCACTCACACATCATCGACAACATCAAGACTCCAGCTGACTATCAGGACACTGGTAAGACAGAGGCTATGGTTGTCTGCAAGTTGTTTTAAAACACCAAAAGATGTAAAATATAAGTTTCACTATTTTGTATCATTGCTAGTAAATATGTCTTTGTATGTTTGTTTAGTAAGTTTTACGGCTCCCGCAACTGCATAAGCTCATATGAGACTACCAAATGGTCAAATTTGTCAAACACCCAAATAAAACCCCCACAAAAAACACCCCCACCCCAAAAACAAAACAACAACAACAAAATATCAAGTGATTAAAAATACACTTCAAGAAGTGAATGCTTATGGGTGATTGGCGTGTGTTCTGGTGTGATTTGCACCTTCCTTCCCATCAAACATCTATCGTCCTTATCTCTCCTCCTTCTTTTTTGTGTTTGTTACTCTCTTGTAACACCTCTAATCTTCGGCACTTATATGACCTTAAAGTGTTGCAAGTGCCGTAAAACTCTTACCAATGTTTAATCTAAACGAAGGTAATGCTTCCTTCTAACCTTCACCTAGTCTCCCCTTTTTTCATATTTTCTTTTACCAGCGAGCATCACAGAGTTTCACATTTTCTTTTCCAGCGAGCATCACTTAGTTTCACATATTCTTTTCCATCACTGAGTTTCACATTTTCTTTTCCAGCGAGCAACACTGAGTACCTTGAGAAGCTGGAGGAGCTGCTTGTGTTGTGGGCCAAGCAGATCGAGCAGGTGTTGGCCGAGAGTGAGCAGATGAGGCGAGAGGCGGATGACATTGGACCCACGGCTGAGTTGGCTTACTGGAAGAGCAGGATGGCCAAATTCAACAAGTATGGGGCAGACGGGGGCGGGATAGATAGATAGATAGATAGATAGATAGATAGATAGATAGATAGATAGATGGATGGATGGATGGATGGATGGATGGATGGAT